TGTGATAAAAGAGAAGCATCAGTTCAAGGCTGTCACCAACACTCTCCTCATGTGTGCCTCCCTGCTTGCTTTTTTATTTATTAGTTTCATAATATAGGGAAGGGGTAAAATATGGGCTCTGCTCAGATACCCAAGATGGACCTTCACCTGTAGCCAGCTTGAGGATCCACCAGAGTGTGGACTACTTTTGTTCCCCATGGTCAATGGAAAAAGAAATATATTTTGAGGCATAATAATCCCTTAAGGAGATCTAAACCTGGTGGGTATTGTTCAAAAGATTTCTTCTAGATGCCTCAGTTGACCTGAGGCTCCTACTTGTCTGAGAGTTCCAGGTGGGACATCACCATGTCAGCAGGAGCAGCCTATCCCTGGGGGGAGGTGATTTGTGAATTGGGGGACATTTGTTTCTTCTGTCAATTTGAGAAAAGGTCAGAAAGAGAAAACAAGAGACAAAAGTGAACTGTGTTATCTGTATCTGGGTGCATACACTTATGTGTGTGCATGTATATGTGAGAAGAATACTACAGAGAAGAGAGGGAATGAAAAGAGGAGAGGTAAAGATGGAAGTGGATAAACATGGATGATGGCAAGAGGTAGAATTCCTTGGCAGAAAGACATCATATTGGGGCTGGAGAGATGGTTCAGTGGCTAAAAGCATTTGCTACTGTTTCAGAGGGCCTAAATTCAATTCTGAGAACCCACATGGCAGCTCACAAAACCATCTGAACCCCAGGCCCAGAGACTCCAACACTCTCTTCTGGCTTCTATGGGGACCAGATATGCATGTGCTGTACAGACACATATATATGCAAGCAAAACACTCATAACCACAAAATAAAAATACATCTTTAAAAAAAACCCTATGTGCCTAATGGGGAATAGAGAATTCCAGTTTTGCAACCCGAAGAAGTTAACAATGTTTCTTTGCTTGACACTGCTGAACTGCACATTTAAAATGGTTAAGGTGATAAATTTTGTGTTATATATATTTTCCCACTATTTTAAAAAAATTAAATGACTTTTTCATTTTTATTTCATTTCTGTAGTTCTGGGGTTGGAACCCCTGGGCTTTGAGTGACACATCTGTTTGAAATGTAGTGTTAGGCATGATTCAGAAGGCCAAGTGTGTATTCCATGTACCCCACATGAGCCAGGGTTTATCCGCTTTGTTGGGTTGACAAGGGATTTCAATATTTCTTCCCAGACAGAAGGAAGTCATGAATCTCAAAGACATAAGGCCTTGACCACTTAAGCCAAGCCTGTTTGCTCATCTATTACCTGTGTGAACATGAGGGCTGACTATTCTAAGAGGTTGGATGGGGCTGGAAGCAATACGTGGTCATAAATGAGCATCTGGGGAGGAACTTTCCCTTCTAAGTGGTGGGTGCCGTCAGACACATCAATTGATCTGTAGTCTGCCAACAAATCAGGGACAGATGGTCACCAAGACTGAGGGACATGTGGTAGCTCCTGAGGCTTCAGGGAGCAACCCTAGGTCCAGGGTATCCTTTTTTTGGTAATTCTTTGTGGGGCTCTGTGTGGTAGAGGCTGGGAAGGGCAAAACTCTGGGAATAACCCATGGCTCAGTGGAAGAGGTTATTGTACCACAGCCTCTTACCATATTCTGACTTCCTGACTCTTTGCAACCAAGAAGCAAAAGAAAATGCTAGCCTGAAATGTGAAAAATGCAAAGGAAGTCAGTTTGCTTTTTGAAAGTCATCTTGTTGCCATACTAATTGGACTCTGGGTTAAAAAATTAATTAAAAAGCCAGTTTTTTCCTCCAAATATCTTTTACTCTTTAACACATTAAAATCTCAGTTTGCCTGATTTTGTATTTTAAGGTAAATTTAGCACATTATTCATATACTAGATCTTTTATATTTGTGCTATATCCTCCTGAGCTCCAGGCATGCCCATGCATGTGCACACACACTCTGTGTGTGTGTGTGTGTGTGTGTGTGTGTGTGTGTGTGTGTGTGTGTGTGTGTTGGTTCACAAATGAGCCATGCCTGTCATCTGACATGTGCCTAGAATTTATTAACACTGGGGTATTGGACTGTACTGGTCCCATGGCTCTTATTGCCCAGCGGCTGTGGGTCCCAGGAATCCACCATGAATAAACTTCACTGATGGCGGCCAAACATTTGACCCATGCTACGTTTGGCCAGTGTTGCCTGTGGGGCAGCAGGGATGGACATAGGATCAATTGAAGTAAGGGTTAGCGTGTTTCTGACTGAGGAGCTCCAGATCACAGAAGCCTGTGAAGTATTACATCAGGAGAAGTATTCACAGGCTCCTGATGTTCTCTCCTAACATATATTCTCTCCCGTATCTTCTGAAATGTGAGTTGAGGAGGCAGAACAATGGCTCCAAAATGTCTATATTCCAGTCTTTGGAACCTGTGAGCAAAATAGACACCTAGTTATAGCAAGTTTAAATGGTTCTGTGAGTCCCTAGCCAGTAGGCCCTCCACATCAGGCCCTGCCAATCATGTTAGTGTTCTGAAAATGAAGATCCCAAAACAAAGCTCCATTTTCAGGTAACTAAGGACTGTAAAGTGGATTTGAATTATGATATTATTTCCCCATACTCCATACATTTTTCCCTAAATTACTTGATATTTTCTGTGACTCAACAGTCCCAGCCAAAAGAAGCCCTTGCCCCACTTCGCCAGCCTTGCTCTGGATGCACTGTATCCTGGCATGACTGCAGGGCTGCATGCACTGTACCCTTGACCTCATGAAGGGCTGGCTGGAGAGGCTCTGAGGGCCTCCCCTCATACATCTCCTTTGCTATGGATGAACATCCTCAGGAAAAGAAGGTGCCTGGACAGCCCTTTCTATGAAATCTGCTTTGTGCTACCACCCTGCCCAGATGCTCCATCTTCTTCACACAACACTTGCCATGTTTATCTTCCACCTAAATTATGGCCCACTCATCAAGAAAAGTTCCGTGTCAGGGGTAAGAATTTCCTATGCAGAGACATCACAAACACAAGCACACACGTCACTGATATGTGTCAGGGTCATTCTTCTTGCCTGCTCTGTTGCATTTCTGCAAGGACTGAAGTCCCAGGAATTTAATGGAATGGAGGGTACAGAGATTGGACACTGGGGCATGGTGGGTGGATGGAGGGAGAGCCTCCCTACTTTTGACACCTCCTCAGCCGTGTTGGATACTTCCTGATGAGACTTAGCTGACGACTGTTTTTCTCCACCATGTTAGAGCACAAAGAAAATGAGTTTTGTGTCTTGGCCAAGTGATGAAAGACAGACTGACCAGTGGAAAGTAATATCTGATACTTCTGTGGGAACCTCAAGGATACCAGCTCTGTATCTCCAGGCCTCAAACCCCCGAAAAGCCAGCCCCAAGTTAGCTCACAAGATATGGGATACTGTCCCAATTCTGTTCTTAGTTTCAATGTTTTTTACCAAGTAACTCAACACCTAGAGCTCCCCGGCATCTTCCAGGAACATCACATGTGTGTACCTCAGGTGGGGAAACGGGTTCAGGGAAGGGTGGGAGTGGGTGTACTGAGCAGTCTGGTGCCTTTCAGGAGAAGGTGGGATTCTGAGTTTGGGCTATGGGTATGTTTGTATACTTGCACCTCTGAGTTACTGATTCACTTGGTCAGGGCAATGGGGACAGATGGCAGAGGGGGCAGGAGAAGAATCTTGGTTTCTGCTACCTCCTCCTGCTGCTACAGTGGTCCTTGTCCCATCGAAAAGTTGAAATGTTAGTTCTGCAGTCATTTTTGTTCTTGGGCTGACAGTTTGTTACAATGTACAAGTAGGCCAAGGTCAAGGGCAAGACAGAGACTTGTAAAGATTCTGGCCAAAGAACAGAAGACTCTGGATGATGGGGAGGGTCCTGACCAATGAGTCCCATAGTTAGATAGCTACAGCATGTGTCCCTTCTAATTTTCTTATCAGGAATGCAAATCTGGGACCAGCATCAGAAAGGTGGTCACTGGAGGGTAATTATGCGGATCCCTTTTTTGACCCACAGCCCTGTTCTCTGCCCTACAGACCTCCTTCCAGGGACACTGCAGTGGCACAGACACCCCTTCACACCCCAAGCTTTCTGACAGATTTATGTCATCGTGTAGGGAACCAGCATGCCCTGTTTTTTAGAACCTTGCCTGTTCTTATGGCCAGAAACTTCAGAGCTCTCACAGAAGTCAGTGCTCATGTAAATTACCACATACCTACTGATGCTTACGAGGGCAGTCTGGGGGTAGGCTGGAGGGCTTCTACACATCCTCTATCAGCCTCACTTTGTCGGTGCACTAAGAGGGATACCAGCTTCTGTCCAGAGCTAAGATGAGGAACTTGACCCTGTGGAGCAAGCTTCCCCAATAACTGACCCAGTTTGCAGGTCAGAGATTGCTCTAAAGTCCTAGGGAGGGACCCCTCCTGACCCTCTTGCTTGCTTCCAATGAAGGAAATTCATGATGAAATGACAATTTCTGAGGATCTTTCCCAAGTCACCAAGCTTTGTAGCAAGACTCTGGGTCTAGCTAGAACAACGAATGAATCAGAGTCCAGTAATGCACCATATAAGGATGTTCAGGTATACAGTAGACACCACATAGGGTGGTAGTCTCATAACACTTTAACAGAGCTGAAAAATTCCTCCTGTCTAGTGATGCCATAGCCTTTCACAACCTTGTAATCATGCTCATTGTACTCATGTTTACAGTAATGCTGGGGGTGGTGACCATCAATTGTACCATTGCTGCGTGTACTTGATAATGATGGTGAATGATTGTTAGTGGTTTTGTATGTAGTAGACTTTACCATTACTTCAGTGTCCTCCTATTTGTTTAAAGGAAGTTTATGTAAAGCAGTCTGCCATGTGACATTGACAGCAGCCTCACACAACTGATTGCCTCATCTTTTACGAGTACCAAGAGGCTACATGGAATAATGGTTAGCAACACCCACATTTGTGTAAGTATATTCTAGAATGTTCACAAAACAATGAGATCACCTAAAGGTACAGTTCTCAGAATTTTCCCCATTATTAAGATGGGTCCCATGACTATACTGAACACCTAGATGGGTTTACAAATCATGTAATTTTCTCTGTAGAGACAGCTGACTTGAACGACAGCCTGATGGTCCTGAGCCCTGGTTCCTGTGCTCAGGGTGAGTCCTGAAGAGCTAGGCATTGTTTCTGGCTGCCACTTCTCTACTCTTACAGCTTAGTCCTTTATTTAAGATGTTACTGGTGCCCTGGGAATGGTGGTACACACCTTTAATTCCTGCTCTCAGAAGGCAAAGACAGGTGGATCTCTGAGTTCAAGGCCAGCCTGGTCTATAGAACAAGTTCCAGGACAGCCAGACAAACACAGAGAAACCTTGGCTCACAAAACCAAACCAAACCAAACCAAACCAAACCAAACCAAACCAAACCAAACCAAACCAAACCAAACCAAACCAAACCAAACAAAACAAAACAAAACAAAACAAAACAAAACAAAACAAAAAGTGACTGGTAAATGATAAATCTCTGGGGAATAAACAATGTGACCCTTTCCTTTCCAAGCTCAGTGGCTTTTAAAGAATGTTAATCAAAAAAGCAATGATACTGACTTTACAGCCTTAACTGGGCAAGCTTTCACGAGACCTCTTTCTCTTTAAGAAATGGCATAGCATCCTTGTCTCTGGAAGATCCCAGGCCATGCAGATGAAGAAAGGCTCAAGGTGGACTGTGGACATGTGGGATGTCATCATATGGGACAGAGCCATGTGAAGAGGTAGCAATAAACAATTCTTTTGGTGATGGTGTTTCATCACAGCAATAGAAACCCTAACTTAGACAATGGTGATGGGTCTTGATTCCTATGACAACCGCATCCCTCCCTCGGGGCAGGGCAGGGAGTGTTTGTCTTTGTCTTTGTACTGGATGGTATCAGACAGCATGTTCCCATAACCTGTTTTGGATGTGGTACCAGTCATGGCCTGACCAGCTAATCTCAAGTTTGCCCCTATCCTACCTGCTATGAAATTCCCTTCTGTAACTGCTGGGGGCATACAGTGTGAGCACCGCTGTAATGATTTAATAAACGACTTCGCAGCGCCAGGTTACACTCTCCTGGCGTGTTTTCTCTCACCCTCTTTTGAGGCACTAAGAAACTGTGCCCACCAGCTACTCACGGTGGGTTTTGTCTCTTCACCTAAACCCTGTGTCGTCAGTCCAGCTTGATCTTTGTTGACTAAGCTGGTGAAGGTACTGATGTGCTTAGTCACATGTGGGCAGGAGGTGCACAGGCTGGAGGTATGTCAGGATGTATTATGTATGCTTGCCCTTGATTGGACCTGGTAGGAAATGCAATGGATTATGGGTTTTCCTTCTTAAGCAGCTAAAAACTGTGATTCTTGGCCATTTCCCAGGAACCTGGATATGAGCCCATCCACCTGGCTAGTATTTAATTAAAGCTTGCTTCAAATTTGACCTTAAATTATGGTAGTGATCTTATTCTCAATCAGCGGAATAAACAGAACCAAGGCCTAATAATATAAATTGGATAAAACATAAAACATAAAAAACCAAATGACCAGGAGTGAATATATGTGAAGAGCTGGATGAAAATAAATCCTATTCTAGAATGGGTTAGACAATATGAGTCAAGAAAGATCTAGAAGAATCTTCATAAGAGAGATGATAAAGTATCTTTAGGTGTGTTATTGATGGGCTGCAGAACCCAAGAGATTCCTGTGAAAAGGACTGCTTAGTTAGGGGGCTCCCTGTGAACCACCTGAACAGTGAGTGCCACCACCTTCCTGCTACCCGACGGGTCCCTGACACTGTATATAGAACAGGACCAGACAAATAGAAGACTCCAGCAAATACTTATATTACTGCATATTCTGGTGTTTAATGTGTAAAGCATGATTCATTTGGGAGATGTATTAATTTTGAATCTGAATATATTTCAAATTTCATTAGTGCCTCAAAATAGCAAATGTTGGCAGAGTTGCCAGGTGACAAGAACACATCCCAAGGATATGAGTATCATCACACACACCCTCCATCACTTAGTGAGAGCTTGGGCACCCAAATCATGAAGAGCCAGAGGAGGTATGGCTCACAGTGGCACACTCATCTGAGAGTCCCTTGCAGAGTCTATTTGCCCAGACCTTGGAAGATTTGAAAGTCAGGAACCAATTCTTCAGGAGACTGGAGCTCATAACCGGGAAACGACGGTCCATGGAAGAAATCTACCTGGCAGGGAAGATGAAAATAGATGAAGGGAGTATACAGCTCAGCCTCTAGATCCCACCCAGAGAGAGAGAGAGAGAACATTTAGAGCCTTAGGAGGTGCAGGTGTGGGAGGCAGAGGAAGAGGCCCCAGTGGGCAGGTTCCTTCTGTGGTTCTCCTCAGGGAACTCATGGGGCCCACCTGGCACCTTGTCTCAGCTCAAAGCTAGCCTTTGATCTACCATCTACCCACTTACATTTTCTTCCTGTTTTTTTTTTTTTTAATTTCCTTATCTGCACCCCTCAACTCCCTTTGCTGGCTTTCATGTGGTAATGAGATCTACATGAGGCACTTTGTGTGTGTACAGCAACTTCACTTGGTTCACAGAAACTAATCACGGATTCACTTGTCTCTTTGTCTCACTCAGCCACTTTTTTTTCTTTTTGTATCTGTTTGTCAGTGTGTCTCTCTCCCCAGCCTGTATGAACTCTTTATCATGGTTGGAGATGACACTTGCAAAATTTATATGCTTAGTGACTGATTTTTCTGCAGTTTGTTCTGGGTGAGAAATTAAACTTGTATGAGGATATGTGTACAAATGGTTGTTGCACTATACATGTGAATGATGCAATGATATGTGTTAAAAACAGGGGCCAGGGTTCAATGATGGGGCATTATTCAGCCATCAGGGGTAGAAGAGCTCTTACAGGATTGGTAAGGACAGATGATATACCAATGTGCAATTACATAATAATCTAATATTCCTAAATGGAGTGTACAATGGGGTAGCAGGCTACATATTAATTGGCAAGGGTAGGTAGGTTGAGGTATAATAGTTTAACAGCAGAAGGTAACCTTAGCAGGTTGGAGCCAAGGGGCACTATAATGCCACACCATGCAATAGAGCTCACATGGGAAGTTTATTGGGGGTGTGCAGAGGTGGCCCCTGGGCAAGAGTGGAAGGAAGAGAGAGGGAGCAAGGAGGGCTTGCTTTTTATAAGGGGATATAGCACATGCACATAGGAAGAATGCTCTACTCAGTGGCTGCAATAGTCATAGTGTCACATCTTGGCTACTGCTGATGATGTGTCCTGCTAGGTCCCCGAGGGCAGGCCAGTGTAAATGTCTGAATGCCAACATGAGGACCAGCTAAGTTAGATAGATCTTGCTGGTATCTGACCTTCTACCTGCTCTAAATTCAATCCTTTATATTTTTTGCTTCTTCATTTCCAACTCCACCATAACATTATGATCTCCTGGGAATCACCTTTGACTCCAACCAAATAGCTAGGACATGGCTCTTTTTTTGTTGGTTTACATCTTAGCTGAAGTCACTGTCTCCCCTAAAATACAATATTCCCTAGGCCCAGCTCCAATTATTCTTGCCAAACTAAAACCATCACACAGAGAGCCATGGCTAAAAGTTGGAAATCCTGCCGTACCTCCAGGACCCTCATGCTTAAGTATCTGATTTTGGTTTTTAATGTTTTAGGTCATACAATTGGCAAAGCCTAATTGATCATGGAGAGGAAACACACAAGGACAACAGAGAAGACATTGACAAAGCAGAGACTCGACCTCCTTTCATCTTTATCCTGGAAAAAAAAAAGAAGTGCCACATGAGGCTTTTTGGAGCTGATAAACCAAAGGAGAAGTTTAATTAAAATTTTAGACCTGGATGTAGCAGATCACAATTGTAATTCCAGGACTTGGGAGGCTGAGGCAGGGGGGGTCAGGAATTCAAGGTCTGCCTGGGCTACACAATAAGATTGTCTGTCTGTCTATCTGTCTGTCTATCCATCCACCAAAACAGCCAAGGGAAAAAGAGAAGAATCAAGAATTATTGTGTAAACTAAGCCCCCATTTGCATTTAGGATCACCTTCTTTATGCATCCTGGGAAACGGAGCTTCACAAAGTCAGGAGTGGAGTTGGGAGTGCTTGCTTTTTATCACCATGAGGCTTCTTCTAGACATTGGAATTCTACTGTGGAGTTCTGGGCCTTTCAATAGCACAATTCTTTTCAGGAAAAGAGTCAATGTGATGTGAATAATTAACTTTGAAACTGAAATTCCCACGCACCCTGGTCCACCCCTCCCATTTTCTCTCTTTGACTTTCATAACCTGTTGTCTTCATCCTTCCCAGGCCTTCTTTGTTTAGTGTTTTTAGTCAGCTTGTAATGCTTACGTGTAACAGATCTGTTTCCTTTTAGTCCAAGCACATAGTTTAGTTGGTTCTCTTTCGTAAACATTACATATTTGATTTGATTGTCACATAACTGGGTGGTTTCTTCTTTTCTTTTTGCTATTGTAAACTGTGTTGTAGCAATTTTCTCTGACTGTGCACATCTGCCAATACTTCTTTGAGATACAGTGGTAGGTACTGATGAATAAGTAACTTTTAAATGCTCAACAGGGGTGGCTAGATAAATGACTATTCAGAAATGCCTGGAATCTGTCCTCTGACAAGAGGAATGAAGCTGGTTTGAGAATCTAGTTTATTTAACTAATCTGATGTTGTCAAGCTTACTTTTCTTCAAAGTATCAGAAATTGTAACATTTTATTGTTAGTTAATTTAAACTTTAACTGTTCTGAGGCTTAGCACAGTTTTACCTGTGTAGCACAGATACTTACGTATCTTTTCTAAAAGTTGCATGCTTATGAATTTTGTCCAGATTTTTTTAATCAGATGATTTGTCTTTTAAAAATTGCCTGTAAAAGATGTTTAAGTTTTTTGAGAATTTCATACATGCATATAATGTAGTTCGACCAAATCCACCCCTCTATTCCTTCCCCTATAACTTCTCCCCTATTCCCTCTACTTTCCCCTCCCCATTTCAACTTCATGCGCTCTCTCTCTCTCTCTCTCTCTCTCTCTCTCTCTCTCTCTCTCTCTCTCCTCTCCCCCCTCTCTCAACACACTGAGTCCACTTGGTACTGACTGTATGTGCATGGGTGTAAGACCATCTACTGCAGTATGGTACTCTCTGAGCGGACATATTCCTGAAGAAAATAGATTGTCTTTTAGCATCCATCAACTGCCAATAACTCCTCAGGTAGGAGTGAGGCTTCATGGGTCCTCCCCAAGACACACTGGGATTTGGGGTGGCTTTATTGTGTGGGTGTCTTGTGCATGCAGCCACAGCTCCTGTGAGCTCATATGTGCAACAGTGCCACTATATCTGGAAAATACTGGTTCACCATCATTATCTACTCCCTCTTCCCAATGATTTCTGAGCTTTAGGAGTTGGGGTATAATGCAGATGTCTCTTTAGAGTTGAGCACTCTGCGGTCTCTTTCTCTCTGTGTGTTAGCCAGTTGTAGGTCTCTATATTGATCACTGTGCTGGTTAGTTTTATGTCAGCTTGACACAAGCTAAAGTCACCTTAGAGGACATAACCTCAATTAAGAAAATGCCTCCATAAGATCAGGCTGTAGGCAAGCCTGTAGGTTATTTTCTTAATTAATGATTGATGGGGGAGGGCCTAGCTCATTGTGGATGGTGCTATCCCTGAACTGGTTATCCTGGGTTCTATAAGAAAGCAGATTGAGCAAGCCAGTAAGCAGCACCCTTCAATAACTTCTGCATCAGCTCCTGCCTCCAGGTTCCCGCCCATCTTGAGTTCTTGTACTGACTTCCTTTGATAATGAACAGTGATATGAAAGCCAAAGAAGCCCTTTCCTCTCCAACTTGCTTTTTCGTCATGGTGTTTCATCACAGCAATAGAAAGCCTAACTAAGACAATCATCATCTACCAATAAAAGAAGTTTCTCTGATGAGGGTTGAGAGATCCATTAATATGAGGGTATAAAGATGAGACTTTAGGGAGTAGTTTATTAATATGTCCATTTAGCATAAGTCTATGACCTAGACAGCCAGGAGTTTTTGACCCAATTAATGATTCCAGAAATAAGTTTCATCTTGTAGAGTGGGTTTTAAATCCAAGCAGAAAGTGTTTATTTACTCTGCAACATTTGTGCCACCATTACACTAGCAGTCATATCTTGCCAGGCCAGTCATTACCACAACTTGCAGGACTCACACCTGGGTTAGACTATTGATTACCTTTCTCCCCTGGAAGAGTGCATAGAACCTTCCAGTACTACAAAAACTAGTCAGGAGGGATGAAGCTTTTCGGTCAGTCAATAATAGCTCTTTGATATAGAAATTAAAAACTGTCACATATTTGCCAAATCTTTATCAGTTGCTTCACATCCATCTGTTAGGATAGCTATCATCAAAAAGATGAGTAACAAGAAATCTGATGCAGCTGTCTGAGTCATTTCTATTCCTGAGAGTAAGCCCTCACTTATATTTCTGCAGGTAACCCCAATCAAACTCATTGGTTCACCAACTTGACCTTTGGTGGTGTTTTCATTTAAGTCTGCTTCTGGTTTCCTATCCGGGATGAACATACATTTTTTTCATATCTCCATGGAATAGTGTCACATAACACAAGAGCAGTGAGCAAAAGGCTGATAGGACCTGTCTCAGGTATCCTGACTAGAACTGCATCAGAAAGGCTGGCTTACCTCACAAAGGGGATGCAGGTATGACTACCTGACAGGAGAGTGCAGAGGCCAGAAGCATCTGGGGCTTAAAACCACGGATGCCTAACCTGAAATAGGAACATGGCTTGAGTGTGATGGTGGTGGAGAGCAACCTGAGGATAGAGGCCATTTAATCATTTATTCACCGCAGATAAAGGTACCGTTTATGGGACAGAGCAGTTTCTTTACGGCCCAAAGACCAGCAACATCGCTGAGAACTTGGTTTAGACATGGTACAGGGTATAGAGTGTTCGGGGTAGTCTTCAAGGGCCAAGAAAGTAATCTATCGATTAGAGAACAGAAAGACTTATTGAATAGTTAGTTCAAATTGACCTGTAATACATCAAGTAAGAACCAAGGTGATTAACATACTGGTTAACATACTTAAGGCATGGGGCAAGTAGGGTGGAGGTGGAGAGGTCACATTTGGAACATGGGGTTACATCTTATGTCTCCTCCTACATCCACTTCATGGTGATGATAGGTTAATGGGACCACAGTGGAGATTTGAGCAAGTGATGTGTCAGGAAACAAGTTGCAGTTACTTGTGGGGAGAACTTCTAAGATGATCAGTCTATGCTGTTGAAGATGGGGTAGGCAAGGCCAATGGAAGCTAGTAAAAGGAACTTACCAAGGACACAAACAGAAAAATCTATTGAAATACTCTACAAGTGGGTAGCAGATGAGACCACAGAGAGGAAGTTTCTTGGCTGATAGGATGTAGAAGTCTTACAGTAGGGAGGGGTAGCTACTTGATCTTATAGAATGTTTGTATGAGGTCCAAATTTGGATAGAGAGATGGGCATCTCACTATCTTATTAATTAATAAAATTTATAGCACATGTTGTCTTTCTTGAGATTAGTCTTCTATGTCAGATGCTATAGGTCACTGGGAATTTTGCTCCAGGTGCCTGCATAAGACATCTTAAGTCACTAGGGGTCAGGGTCAAAGTGGTTGTGGCTGGGTTGCTAAAATGTGGGGATTTTGTTTTTGTTTTTGTTTTTGTTTTTTGCCTTTTTCTTTATAGTTGGTGCCTGAATTGTGAGTAGTATTAATATCATATATATTCTGTTTTTTCCTAGACATACAATGATAGTTTAATTCATAGATATATGCAAGGATGATCAATAGCTACCAACAAAATAGAGCAATTGTAGTGTTCTACAATAAAATTATTTCAAATTAACGAGTTGCTTACTTCTGGAATTTTCTATTTGGTACTTTTGGACCACAGTTCACAACCGATAACCCAAATCAGAGTGAGGTACAATGTTACACTTGATTACTCACTTATAGGATGGATTCAAGTGCACCAAGCTGGCACAGCTGTCCACTTGATAAACCTACTGCATGAGTTGATTGATATTACCTGTGGAGAGGATACACAGGGCCAGAATGATGTTATCAGAGAATGGCCGAATTAAGAACTCAGAAATACCCTGGTTATGTGTATCCATTCATACTCAGTGCCTGATACATTGTCTCTTAGTTCTGCCATCAAATTCTATGCACCATCTAAATGCAGTCTTTCCACTTCTCATAAATTCTGCAATGTCTCAGGCTGTTTGTCTGCTTGCTCACTGTCGAGACTGCACATGCTTTAACCAGTTTGTCCAGATGTTAGAAATTTCAACTCAATTTATCATCTTTGGGAAAATATGGATAACCTTAAAATCAAATGTGTATTCCAGGCTGTTGCTTAACGTGTGCATGTCTGCTAGATTGAGGTAGGTTAACAGGGTGAGGCCAACAGTGGTTAGGCCTGGAAGCCTCCATCAAGTAGCATGAGGCATTTTCTTGGCTTCTTACTAAGCCTCATTTCCCTCCCTTGTAGAGGGGCTAGCTACTCAGTATACAGCAGCCATGGAAGATGGCAGTGAGGGAGTGACGTAAGAGGCAGAGGGCCTGACAAGCCCCAGGATGGTAAGAAGATCTGAGTTCTAATCTGCTCAGTCAATGGGGAGGTTCTGGGGACACAGCCTTTCAGGCCTGTGTGCAATCTCAGGTGGGGGTTGCCACACCTGTACATGGAAAATGAAGGACTTGGAGAATATATTCTTGTTGAGGAAGTGCTTCCCATGCTGCCTGTGCACAGAGATCTGATTCAGACATCTCTGTGCATTGTGACCTTGAGAACAAAGAGATGGTATCATTCAGAAAAAAAAAAGGGGTGGGGGATGGGAGGTGAAGGGGTGGGTGAATAATGAAAGTGTAAGTCCTTCCAGGAAACAAATGGCTGAGATGGGGAAATGGGCTAAATTATAATAGTAGAGGGTTTTTTTGTTTGTTTGTTTGGTTTTTAAATTAACTTTCTTTGGAGAAGGAGAGAGAAATCCTAAGAGTTCATTGTTGCTGTGTATACATTATTTAGAATTCACAAAGTACCCCTGGAACCATATGTGTGAGGTCTCCAAGCAATGTTCCAATTCTCTCTAGGTATCCAAAGGACACCCAGTGATTCAGTTAAACTTCAACATCACCTGGCACCAGCCTAAGGCAACACAGGCTAGACTCGGTTCAATAAGATTCCCACTTTAGATGCTAATCACCAGTGGAAGGTCCCCAGGGTAGCTCACACTTTCTTTGAACCTTGCTACCAATGGAAGGTCCCCACAACCTCTGCCTCAATTTTGGTATCTTATTTAATTTTCTGTGGTTATGACTGAATATCATAAATTAAAAATAATCGGGGTTAATGTGGGTCTGAGGTTTGTGGTTCAAAGTACACAATTGAAGGACCACATCTGGTGAGGGCCTCTCCATGGTATCATAACATGGTGGAGGAACAAGTGACTAAAAGAGGTACAAAGTCACTTCTGCAAAGACTAACCTGCTTCAGCAATAACAGTACCGATCCACTCAAAGACGATGAGGGAACTGTGACCTATCTTCTGGGTAAATATTCCACATCTTAATTTTATTCTAATTACAGTCAGATTTCCACCTGTCCCTTGGAATGGACAATTATTAAGGAACAGGTGAGAAGCTCGATGCACAACAGGAAAGGCGGGTACTTGGGTACTTGGGATTTCATTTCATTTCCACCGAATCTCCACGTCTTCACCAATCTAGAAGCTCTCTGAATTCTTTTTGGACATGCTACAGAGGTTCCATTATACAGGCAAAAATAATATAATCATTACCCATTGGTGATTAACCGAATCTCCATGCATTCAAGGTCAAAGATGAACTGAAAGGTCCAATCTGTTTGGTTTTTCTGGCAATGAGCTCCGTCTTTTTTCCACCAAGAGCTAGCTTATACGTGGCTGAAAAGGGCTTGCTATGGAATGTGTATATGCTTCTTTCTCTCACTGTCACTCAGGAATCCCTTGGGTTATAATGACAGAAATGGGAGATAGAAATCAAATATATATTTCTCATTATAATGCAGTATCCTAATGATGTCAACAGAAATCCCTTCCTTTTAACCCACAGCAGTGTCAGGAGTTGAGGTTGAAAGGAGTATTGACCTGCAGAGACAGCAGGGCCCTTACTGGCTACATCTACACCAGCTCTGGAAAGAAAAAAGGAACTTAGCATGTGTCTCCTTGAATAAGGTCCCATGGCCAGATCCTTACAGGTTCTGCTGCTCCTGGTGACCACAGTGGGCCTTGTGTCTAAAAGAGTCCAAGCCTGGGGCTCACCCAAGATTGTGAGGCCATTTGAAGACATCCCCCAAACCTATGTCTATGTGCGGCAAGCAGTCTGGTATGCCATGAAGGAGTATAACAAGGACAGCAAGGACCAGTACAACTTCAAGGTGGTGGACATCCTAAAATCTCAGGAGCAGGTAGGTGCGGTGTCTGCTCCTTGCTCCCTTATCCCTTGGTCTTCTTTTGAGGACAGAGATCAGTGTCAGGGATAGGAATGGAAATGAGGTCAAAAGATGTCTGTATCTAAAATATATCATTTTACTTTAAAAGTGAAAAATACATTCAGATTTTGCTATTTATTAGTCTGAGATAGAGAAAAAGCATAAAATATCAATTAAAATTGTTTACCTTAAAAGTATAGGTGAGGGGCTGGAGAGATGGCTCAGCAGTTAAGAGCACTTGCTGCTCTTGCAGAGAGGACCCAGGTTTGGTTGCCATCACCTACATGGCAGCTCACAACTCTTTGTAACTCTGGTTCTAGGGGATCTGATGCCCCTTTCTGGCTTCTGTGGTCCCTAGGCACATACATGGTACACATATGTGCATACAGGCTAAACATTCATACACATAAAATAAAAATAAATATTTTAAAGCATCTTTGTTTAATTTATTTTGCATCCTGACTGCAGTTTCTCCTCCCCTACCTCCTTCCATTCCCTTACCCCACCTCCCCTCTGCCCTCCTCCCTCCCTGCCAATATACTCCTCTATTTATGTTCAGAAAGGGGCAGGTATCCCATGGGTATCAGCAAAGCACTAACCTGGCTCATAGGAACTCACATAATCACAACCAACAACCAGGGAGCCTGCATGAGGCTGACCTAAGCCCTCTCCATATATTTGACAGTTGTGTAGTTTGGTCTATTTGTGAGGCTCCTAACAATGGGAACAAGGGCTGTCCCTAATATTTTGACTGGCTCTTGGGAACCTATTCCTCATACTGGATTGCCTTGCCCAGCCTAAATACAAAGGGAGATGCTTAGTCTTACCACAACTTAATAATCTTTTTTTTTTTTAAGTGTAGGTCAGAGCTCAAAAGGGGCAGCTACAGATTTTGTGCAGTGTTGAGTGCTAGTCCACACAAGCTTGTACAGCAGCCTTGAACTACGGAGGCTCAACTAGAACATTTACTTCCTCTTGGTCTGCTTTGTTTTTCATGACTCACTCCTTCAGCTTGCATAGCTTCCTAGGTAGGAGTTATTCTTCTGTACTATGGTAGGAAATCAAGGCACAGAAAGTATACAGTGCTGCATAGCTGAGCAGAAGAGTCAAGACATAAGCCCAGATCCTTGTGATTTTAATCAGTATGTGACTCTGAGTGACTGGATGAGGAGAGCAGCTTCTGAATTGTGCTGGATAGTGGAAACCATGCAGCAAAAAGAAAAAGAGAGGTTCCTAGAAAATCCAAAGTCAGAGAAAAGACTCTGGAGAAGCAATGAGGGCCTGCCTCAGCATGCAAGAGCCCCTCTGTCTCCTCCCATGTGCTGAGCAACTGGGAAGGTACATTAGGCTTGTGATTGGTTGGTGGCTGAGTGAATTGACACTACTTGAAATTATTCTAACTTGAGAAGCACAGATGTTCTCCAAATTGCAATGATTTAACTTATGATTTTGTGACTTATGGCGGAGTGAAAGCAATATCTGTTCAATATAAACCTTGCTTTGGAATTTCAAATTTGGATATTTTCTTGAGCTATCAATATGTGGTATCATATTTTCTTGTGGTATTGTCACAGCTCCCAGTGGGCCCCATGGTCATGGAGAGAAAACTGACTGAGTGGGGTACTATATTGCTAACCTAAGACATTTGTGAGGCTGAATATATTAACACATTTTCCACTTACAGTATTTAAATATGTGGTTTTCTTGAAGGGGACATCTGTTTTGCTTAAATACATAGCTGTGGTTCTCAATGAAGGATAGCTTTTGCTCCCAGGGGATTCTTGGCAATGGCTGGGGTGTTTGTTGATGATGTGAATGGAAGGGCTACTTCTGGTACCTATTAAGTTGAGACTTAGAATGCTACTCACTATCTTACAACAGCCAGGCCTCCCAGACAAAGAAAGATCCAGTTTCAAGATTTCCGTGTGACTGAGGTTGAGAAACTTGATTTATCTCGATCTATATAAAAGTTCTAGGGCTCTGATTGGTAGCTGAGTTAAAAATGAAAGCCTGGCTGGGAGATGCTTCAGTTAGGAAATCGATGCAGTACAAGTATGAAGCCCTGAGTTTGATCCCCAGCAGTCATGTTTTAAAAAACTAGATGTGGTAGTGCTTCCTTTTAATGCTACTACTGAAAGAGGCAGAGACAGGGTCCCTGAGTTTTTCTGGCCAGCCAGTATTGCTTAGTAGGAGAGCTCTAGATTCAGTGAGACTTCCTGCTTAAAATAAAATTAAAAAAAAAAAAAAGGTAGAGAGGCATTGAGGAAGACTCCTGATGTTATACTTTGGCCTTCACATACATAACCACACATGTGTACCCACACTTATGCACATATACATGGATACATATACACACAATAAAAATGAAAGGAAACATGTTCTTGCTTCTCGGTATTTTCTTTCCATGTACATGCATTGTGGAAAGATTTAAGATAAAAAAAATCCCTCGTGTGTGTGTGTGTGTGTGTGTGTGTGTGTGTGTGTGTGTGTGTGTGTGTGTGTATGTATGTTCAAGAGAGACAGAGAAACAGAGACAGAGAAGGGGTTTGGGGAGGGAGGAAGGGAGGACATGATATCTTGTATGCTTGTATGTGTGGTCAGAGGACAATTTGTGGGAGTTAGTCCCCTTCATCATGTGGATTCTGGGTATCATACTCAGGTGGCAAGCTTGGTGGTAGGTGATTTACCCACTGAGCCATCTCACAGGTCCAGTTAAGTATATTTTGTATTCATGAAATCATCCTGCTGTCTATTTTGCCACTCAAAATGTCATAGGAATTCGCCTAAGTACTGTTAGATTTATCTCAGTTTTCATCATACCTTGGAAACTGAAATAAAGCATGGTTATTTTTTGCTCATATCCTAGCAAATAAGCAGATTTGTTAACAGAAAAAGTAGAACAATGAACATGCCATTGCATGCAGCATAGCAATATTAAGAGTTTTAATTCCTTGATTAAAGATGTATTTGTAAAATAATGGCAAATTGCCCCTGAATTCTACTAAATCTATTTATTTTTATTTACTTATTTTTTTGTGGTGCTGGACATTGAGCACAGGGCCTCAGTTAGGCTGTGAATTAAAGAGATTTAGGTTCCTGCCCATGCTGCTGGTGTGTGAGTGTCTCTTGCCATTCATCATACCAATATTAGAACTCTTTTAGATATTTGTCTGTTTAATAGATGTGAAAATACATCTCTTTGTATTTCCAGTACCATGAAAAAATGTGTCTTTTATTTAGTTTAAGGACAATGTGTTTTCTTCTATGAGTTCTTTCTTCTCTCATATTATTTAATTATCTATTAGTTGATAAATTTGTTATGCATATAAAATTAACTAAGTACGTGTGTGTGTGTGTGTGTGTGTGTGTGTGTGACTGTACTTGCCCATTCAGTGTTTGAAGTTTAATTTTGCTTATAGGGTCTTTAGATTTTTTGAAAACATAGCAACAAAGCATTTGGTTCTTTTCTTCCCATATGCTGTTTGGGTTTTGCATCTTGCTTAAGAAGCCCCCTTCCACCTAGCATGGATTTATTTATAGACTGAGCACTAGGTATAATGTTTACATTTTTCTAAAAATAGGCAATCACCAGAACTCTCCTCATAAAAAAGCCTCTAGATTTTTGAAACATGGGTATAGCAGAGGCTAAATTTTCAGATGTGGTTGAAATAACTGTAGAATTCTTTATTCTCTTCCTTGGTCTGTCAGTTCCTGAGCTTTCTCATAATTGCCTCCAAAAGCATGCTTTGGAAATGTAATCCCTTATGTGAGGGTATGGAGATGTGGTCCCAAGGGGAGGTTTTTATGCTATAAAGAGAATTCTTAACTTGGGCATCTATTTCACTTCTCTCTCACAATTGTTTTATTTTTATTGACACTATTATTGTGTGTATACACACACATGGTATGTGTATGTATTCACATGGGTAGGTGCACTCATGTGGGTGCCTGTGTGAGCATGCATTGAAAGGCCACAGGTGATCTATCATTATCTCCAAATCTGGAGCTCATTGATTTTGCTAAGCTGGCTGGCACTTAGCTTGGACACTGATCTGTTTTTAAAGGTCTTGAGGCTTCACAATCAATTTCTTGCCTTTTTTTTTCTTGTGCTCCTTCTTGTCCTTCTGCTTTCCATTGTGGTAGGATGTAACAAGAAGACTCCTGCTAGACATGGGCTTCTGGATCTGGGAATGTGTAGCCTCTAAAATCTCAAAAATTAAATATTCCATTCTTTACAGATCACCTAATCTCAAGTTACAATAAATAAACAGTTAGTTTTCACTGGAGAATGCTCTTTGTAATTTCCTTGCTTCATTCTGGGAACACTTGCTATTATTTGCTATTTAAAATTAAAAACCTTGGGGCTAAGGAGGAGGCTCAGTAAAGTGCTTTCTGCACATGCAGGAGGATCTGAATTTGATCTACAGTGTGTGCTTAAATGTTGGACGTGGCAGTACACGCCTGCAAGCCCAGCTCTTAGGGCAATGGGCAGATAAGCAGATCCCTGAACCTCTTTTGCCATCTAGCTTAGCAAAATTAATGAGCTCCAGGTTCAGTGAATGTGATCCAAGAAGACATCAACATTGACTTGTGGCCTCTCTGTGCATACTCACATAGGCACCCTCATGCACAAATATACCTACCCACATGAATACATACATATACCATATAGTATATATATATAATATATTATATATATAATAAAAACAATGTCAATAAACAAAAAATAAAACCATTGTGAGAGAGAAGTGAGACAGATGTCATGGTAAGAATTCTTTCAAATAATCTTAAAACTTCTTCCAGGAGCTGTAGAGTCAAGGAAGAGCAGGAAGATAGTCTAGCCCTACGTAGCCAATGGCATATTGACTTCTCAGAGGGGATGCTTGGTGCTGTTTGCTTCTATAAGATTTAACTTATGTGACTCATTGACAGGTCACAGACAGCCTGGAGTACTATCTTGAAGTAAATATTGCCCGAACGATGTGCAAGAAAACTATAGGAGAAAATGAAAACTGCTTGTTTCAAAATGATCCTAAAATGAAAAAGGTATGTAGCTGACATGAGAGGAAATATCCCGTCCCACCTGTGTGATAAAGAACACTGTGAGGCTAGTTTCTTATTTAAACTCTACTCTGTTTGAGGCTGTTGTAGCCAGATTCCAGAACTAAGGTGTTGTTTCTATTATCTATCATTGACAACATCCTACCCTATTCTACAAGACATACACATACATATATACAT